ACAAAGCAACAGGCAGACAAGCATTTGAAAGATGCCTGGCTTTTGTCCTGGAGTCTACTTTTTTTTTAAAAATAAAAAAAATCAAAAGATTTTAGGATCTTTTAGTATCTTTAGTATCTTTTCTTCAAAAGATACTGCTGCCATAATCCAACCTAGTTTCCTCCCCTATCTGTTTTAGGCAGTATAAAATATAGCAGAAAATATAATTATCAGCTTCCTACAAACAGATGACATTTTGGTTAGAATAGGGGCAGAGGTGGGGGGCAACCAGAGATCTAAATATGTAACGAGTAAGGATGTTAATATGCTCAGTCTAAAACCGCAGCTCCCCAAACATCTGCTCAGCAGCCTAACTTTCTATAGAAAGACGTTCACTGAGCCAGAGAGGAACTATGCATGAACACAGAGCCCTACAATATTGGCCTTGACATCAGCCTGAACAGGGCAGGCCCAGAATCAGATCACTCCCAATAGCTTTTCTTCCCCGCCAATGTGCATAACGTCTCTGATCCACTGAATGTCTAATTGTTTTAGTCAGATTGGAAGTTCTACTGACACAGTAGCAAATGCATCACTACTCTGCAGCCTTGGTGTTACAGTATGCTTCACAGGAACAAAAACTGATGGTTCAAACTCTATCAAGCAGAAATCATAAGCTAAACAAACCCACAGTCTTGCACACCGTTAGCCAGTGTTCCCACCTCTAGACTGAAGTAGCATTTAGTTGGCTCACAATCCTCCTTCTGATATTGCTCCAGTCTCAAAGACAGTAGCAATCTACACAAAACAACTGCAGAGTAAGAAACATTGCAAAAAAGTACCTCCAGACATACACAGGGTAAGATGATTAGGATCACAGAAAGGTGGAATCTAAGACAGAGCCTTGCCATCTGCACTCCACATTCACTTGTAAAGGCAGCTCTGTGACCAACATATTTACTTTACACTTGGCATGACTGTTTTTGTCATTCTTTATAGGCACTGAATGTAACCATACACAATGCAAAACTCTTGTACATAATTTCAGATTCTGACAGCAAGCTTGACACAAACTTTTAGGAGGTGTGATACTCGTAATAGTGCTGTGGTCTGTCTTGGACCAGAGTTTCCTCTATCACAGCCTTCAGAAAATCTAAAGACGTGGTTGCTACAGCCATGCTAGTAGATGACATGATCTGAAATGACTGCACTTCATAGCCCCAAAGACTCCCCTGCACCTTACAAAGGAACATAGCACAAAAAATATTGCAAGGAATAAGAAAAAGTTATGCTGGTGACCATGTTAATGGGAAAACAATTTGCATATCAAAGTGAAAAGGCATCTCCTGAACAAAGTTTCTCTCATTAGTGGACCATCCTGTACACAGGGTCTCCAACTTGAATCGTTCCAGTTTTGTCAACGGCAAAGTATCTTCCAAAGAGAGGGCTGGATTTGTATATGTGTCGCTCAGATGGATCACATAAGCGGTAACTGCAGAGAGAGAGCACTTCTTCAGAATCAGCGGTAACAAATTCTAAACATCAAAATACCAGTGATAAGAGATAGGACGTATGAACAGTGATTCCCCGGTTTTGGTCACCATACTAGACTAAAAACTAAATATTACAATTAAAAGAAACAAGCAGTTCAAACAGAGGAAAAAAGCCTGACTCTATTCACACATCCATGTGTAATACACCTACAAAAGACTTCATAAAAAGAAATTCCAAAGTTGAAAAGTTAGATCTTTTAATACTTGTTACCCCAGCACTCACCCTAGCAGAGATGAAAGAGACAGGGAATGTAAAGTTTGCAAGAAAGAAGAGAGAACTTCCTGAATTTTCCTACCATATAGAATTGCAGAAAGTAGAATGGAAGCCAATATACACAGACCTTTGCACTGCATTATTATGTCCCACACATACTTCAAACCCCTTTTAAAACACTAGTCTAACATCTGTTGGGATCTAGCCTAAATCCACTCCCACAGGCTAAGAAGCTCTGGTATTTTTACAACCTTTTCAATGTTTCCAGGGGCTCCTTCCTGTCCAGGACTCCAGTGTCTGGGTTAACAGTTGTTAAAATACACCTGCAATGACAAACAGTGCCAAATCAATAATGGCTTCTTATCATAAAATCTCTATAGCTCTATACAAAATAATGGTCTCAAACGTTTACCTGGCACAACACACAGTCCCTTTCATCTCCACATCACCAATAAGAATCTCCTCCCAGGTGTCCTGAGGGAAAGTAAACATTTTGCACACATTAGACATACCCACATGTAATCATTTTTCCAGGAGTGGCACAGTCATTCCTAGAAGCAGCAGTACCATTCCACATGATCATCTTTACTTTTACCTTCAAAATAAGTACAGTTATATTATGGTACTATTTTAATGAAAACCCTATGGTCACTGCATTCATCCAATTCAGGACCCACTAGTAATTATATCTGGAAAGAAAGATACACAAGTACTAAATCCCATTCTGCAGCATGCACTTGTCTGAACCTAAAGTAAGCTTATTGTTACTGTATGCGTGATAATCTCATCTGTGACCTCTGGTAAGTCATCATTTTTACAGAAAGGAAATTTTTAGTGGAAGTAAAGTTTTGACTTCTCATCTACACAAGCTTCCTATTGCAATCCCTACTGGAAGACAAAAACCCATTCCCACTTTAGGAACTTCTTAGATTTGGGAAATGATCAGATCTATCCAGAGCAAAATCTTTGGAAAAATGGCAATATGACATAAAAACATGTAAATGCTACCATTACCAGTTCACTTCATCACCAGGTACCTTCCTAGATAGTGTTTTTTGAACTACCAGAATATTGTCAGAGATGCAGTATTGCAAGGATTAGTTTTACTCTTGCGCCAAAGGCTATAAAACATCACACTGTCAATTTACAAATTGTTCATTTCTATCATTAATTGATCAACTATAGCATGCATAGTTTTCCCTACTTAAAGTTGATCTTTCAGTAGCAAGCCTGCCATTTAAATACATTCATTTTATCCTTTGCTCAGCTAAATATGCATTCACAGACCAGTCTCTTCCCTCAACGTTTCACATGCACTGATGTGAGCAGAAGCTGTATCTCTCTGAAATCCAGTTGTAAAAGTCACAGAATAGCAGCTTTCCTCATCCTTGTAGGCACCATCACACAAGGAAATTGAGTTACAAAAAAACGTAACCAAGCCTTCAAAAAGACATTTAAGACAGTTATTTTACCTCCTCAAAAGCACTGCAATCTGTCACAAGAATATTTGGCCTGAAGTTCTGTATCTTAACTTTCTTCTCCAGTCTGGTATTTAAATCTTCCAGTGAAGCTTCTGAGAGGATCAAGACTGGGCTACAGTCAGGATAGGCAACCTACATAAACAATCACAAACAAATCCTAAGGCTGCTGTAAGAGCACGGGAGGAAAGTTACTGAATGGCAAAAGGACAGCTATGTCGGAACCAGTGGCCACATATTATCTTGACTGTTAGGCTGCTGCATTCAGATTTTAATTTTCCTGGAAACAGGCTAACAAGTAAAATAACATGGCCTTTCCTATTTCAGTAACCACGGCAGGTTACATTTGCTCCAACTGTAAAATTAAACTTCTATTTCTGGAATGAAGCCAAAATTATATAAGCTACCACAACTTCTTACAAAGTAATACTGTATACATGTCCCAGACATTTATTCTAGGTGTTACAGACAGAACTAAGTATATCAGTAAAACATGTTATGGTAAGTTATGAAAGGTACTGAAGATGTTTATGGACCTGCTGAATGCTGAACTTACCTGGTTGACTATGATCAACTAACTAGATTTTTCTATATAATGAATCTATCTTATCACAACACCAGAAGGAGTTCCACACACAGAATAGCAAGACTAGTCAGTCTAAGTTTGCTTGGAAGTGGGAGGGCTGCCATTTTAGCAAACAAGGCTAATGAACAGTATTAAAAGAAAACTCCTACATATGCTAGTTCCACAGAAAAAAAAATTAAAAAAAAGAGAAATTTTGATAATAATTTTAGCATATAGCCCTCCTCCTGTCTTTCTCTTATATTATCCCCCCACACACACACCTTGTACATGCCTCTACAATCACAAGAAGATGAGTGTTGAAATAACTATACAAACAATTCTACTCTCTTTTCATGCTAGGGTTCCTGAGTATCACCCCTCCTACTCCGACATCCCTTTTGCTGAAATCTAGTCTTCTGTATTGGTCTCGATGCCCTTACACAATAAATGCATATCTATAAAAGTCCATAATTGAACATACCTTCTTTGTGCAAGAACAAGCAAAATACTGATGCCCTATAGATAATAGCATCACATCAGTAAGGCAAGGTACTCAGAACCTGCAATTGCTTAAAAAGCTTACACTCATCAGAACCAGTTCAAACCATCTTCATGTGAGAGAGTTGTTCAAACAAAAAAAAGGCATCAGTGGCTCCAATGATATGAGGACATCTGAGCACAGAATCACCTGCATTAACTTTGTCTAATATCACACCTTCAAGCCTCCTCCCACAGAAAGAGAGAAAGATGAAACCTCTGTAACCTTCTTTGGATTTTAATTCCTAGGCCCACAACTTTAGAGTCCTGGGTTAAGCATTGTTCCTTTAAACAAAATATGAGATAACACAACTCGTATCAGTACAGTCCTAGACCTAACAAGGGATAGGAGGTTTTCTATGCAATCATCAAAACCATCTATGCAACCATCAAACATCTTTAAAAATGTCATTTTTTTCTATTCACTGAAGCACAAAAGGAACGCTATTCTGCAATGTAATAGCTCCTCTTCAAATACCAGTATCAGACTCTTTAGCTGTGAATGGTCAATAGCTTAGAACAGATTTACAGTAAAACTTAAGCAAGTCATCTCATCATAGAAAAGGAGAATATTCGTGTGGTTTAAGTACATGACTACACACCTTGCTAAACTGGGCTCAATCACCAAAGATGGAATGGGCAGGTTTCGGTGGGTGGGTGGTAAATGGTTAAAAGAAAGTACTTCTGAGGAAAAGAACATTAATTTACCTCATCTGTGGTTCGGAAAAGGTTTATTATGTCCTTTGACTTCCTTGGCACCATGGAGGGCTCAAAGTGCACCAGTCGATATGGCTCTGAATTCAGGAAAGTGGTGATCCACTGCGCCACTTCATCTCCACAGTCCCTGCCTTGGATATCCAGTCCAAACACCCTGAAAAGTCACAGAAAACACCATCAAGTTAGCTGGAAAGCCGAAGGCTCATGGATGCTTCTTATTCAAAGACAAACAACTTGTTTTAATACTAATAGCAAGATACAGTAAACAAACCGCCTGGATTATAATGAGGTAGGAGCTGCTTTCTGAATCCTTTGGCGCAAGGATCATTCCCAACATGCAATCTCCTTGTGGCCATCTTGTTTTGAAAGCTAAGCAACACGGACATTGCCAGACAATACCAGCTGGTGAAAGAATGAGCCATGAAACAGCCTTTAGGCGCCCACAGCTAACTGTCACAGCAATGACCAGTAACAAACCTACCTGTTTGCCATACTTTCAAGAAGAAAAGAAAAGAAAAGAAAAGGAAAAAAAAAAAAAAAAAAGAGTCAACTCTTGCATTTGCATGCAACTGCAACATCAAAAGACTTCCACCCAGAAATCAAATGAAAGGTAATTAATTTCAGAAAATGAATGATAGTTTGAAAGGATGTGGTTACTGTAATCGACATTTACAAATGTTATTAATTGTAAATATCCCTGATTGTTAAGGAAGCTTTCCTTCAGATTTCAGTGCTGTAAAAATTCAGCCAGAGCTGAGTGAAACTCTGAAGCTTAAACTTAGCATAAAGAATAGCTTAGTATCTTAGGAGAGGTTAAAGATTTGTAAAGGAAGCAAAGTGCATGGGACATAAAAAGCCACTAGCAGCAGAATACAAACAAGTTTACGCAAGGAATACTTTCCTGGCAAGAAAAGGTAAACCTCAACTCAACCTTTCAATAAACTTCAACACCAGTCATGAATAGTTTTACTACTGTCTTCAAAGTAGCAATTTTGGCCAAATGCACCACAGTTTCCTCTACCTCTGCAATCATATCCTGGACAGCTTAAAGCATAGTGATGCCCAGGCAATTCATCTAACCTGAGCCCAGCTCCTAGGAGCCCTCCTTTACTCATCTGGGGTAGAGATGAATCATTACGGTGCTGGTAGCAATATCCCTGCTCTGTTTGCTGGGATCCCTGTATCAACTCTGTGACACAGGTTGGGATTAAACGCTATTGCCCCAGACAACATTCAACTGCCTTTCTCTTCCCTCCATTCTCTCAGTCCTCGTGTTCCTTCTGGCTGGCAGGACAACAGAGGTGAGGATCTTACAGCTTCCAACACTACTGTTTTCCACCCACGAAGCAGAGCTATCGTGAGCACTCGGGATCCATGGGAACAGATCATGCAACCTAAGTATTGCAACACATACTGACAAAGGGCACAAATGAAGAACACAAGGCTTCTTAACCAGAGGGCTATAGAAACCCTCTCACATTTGCACAAACAGAAGCTGTGCCTGCACAATGGCTTCAGTCCTATATTCGACTCCCCTAAACACAGGATTTTTAAATATCCACGTAAAATCTGCATCTGGACTGTCACCATTTTAAAGATTAACATCTGCACAGCCTTTTGCAGCCAGATGCACTACTGCATTACCTTAGCTCCAAACTACCGGGCACGAGCCAGGGTCAATCTGAAGGCATCGTGCTCGCCCAGCAGTGGAATAACTACAAGTCTGTGCAGAGGGCCTTGTCAGCAGTGTACTGTGCAGAAAGACAACTATTCCTACTCACACGCTGGAAGGGAAGAATCTAGCAGCCAAAGCCAAACCTTCATTTGCCTGAATATAGTACTATTCCCAAACCTCATTCTTACAAATGGCTGAATGGATCATAAAGAATCAGCCTTGAGCCGACAAATGGCAAATTGTTTAAGCACAGCGGAGTCATACAAAACCTCAGGATTCCTCCTGAAAAGTACCAGGCAATGTTTAACTATAGGTATTGCTAATTTCATATCCTATGACACCACATACATACCAGACAACTTGCTAAATTTTAAAGTCCATTTACAAGCATCTAACTTTTGCTTCTTTGCAATCCTAAATTCTAGCAATTTTAAAGCCAGAGAGTGCAATTGTTTATTAAGGCAAAAAAAAAAAAAAAAATTAAGAGAAAAACAAGTCACTGAGATCTAAAATTGCAAAATCCAAGATCATTTTTCATTACTGAAATGCATTTAGTCCATTTAAATATTTTTTCTAATAGCACAACAAATCTTAGAAAAATAACACCTTGAAAACTGCATGTTTTCATAGTGTATGTGTCATTGGTTAACATACACATTATAGACAGATTTTTAAAAGACTGTCATATTTCTCCATGAGAAATGCTATCATTTGTAACTTGCACCTGCCTTGTATAAACAGAGGTACTAAGCTATGTCGATCAGAGTTTTCACAGCAACAGATTTATGCTAAAAGCTAGCAAATGCAGTTCCTTTCCAGTACTCTTAATTATAGCACCTGGTACATTAACCTTCTCTACTATCCAAAAGAAAAACACTTATCAGCATCTTTGTAGCGGTTAACATCATTTACAGTTACTAAATTGTCTTACATATTAATTGACATTTTAACAGGGAAAACTTTTCTGCTTCCTCTTGTCAGTTTTCCAGAATGGATTTCAACACATGGATAAAGTAACTAGGCCTGCACACAGCTAAATGACTACGTTTGTAACCCGTTCACCTGAAATGCTTCTGAGACAGTGCCGACAGGGAATGACTGGCTCTCTGGGGATGCCCACCTTTCCTGTGACCACAGAGTCAGCCTCAGGCAACCCAACTACTAATTCAGGCACCCCAGTGAAATGCCTACAGACAGGGATGAGGGAATCTAAACCCCAACAATCTCAACAATTCCAAATGGCCAGTGTATATCCAAAAATGCTGATGCATATACTAGCGGTGACCAAGAAATACCAATATGCACAACCAAGGCTCTGAGATGCAATTGCTCACCCAAGCAAAAACGAAAACACTAGAAGTAAACACAAATGAACAAACATGGGAGTTTACGAAGACTGAAGATCACAGTTCATTTGGCAGATGTATAATGTATCGTTTTTGAATACGGCGTCATCTTTTCCTGAAATCTGTTTTCACCAGTGTTTAGCAGATTAAAGCTAGACCTTTTGTTATTACAATCAATCCCGGTATCCTGTATAACACAGCAGAGAATTTCACAGAATCACTGAATGGTTTGGGTTGGAAAGGACTTTTAAAGGTCATCTAGCCCAACCCCCCTGCCATGGGTAGGGACATCTTTCACTAGATCAGGTTGTTCAAAGCCCCATCCAACGTGACCTTGAACACTTCCAACGATGGAACATCCACAACTTCTCTGGGCCACTCATTCCAGTGTCTCATCACCCTCATTGTAAAAAATTTCTTCCTTATGTCTAATCTAAACCTACCCTCTTTTAGTTTAAAACGACTGCCCCTTGCCCTGTCACTACAGGCCCCGGTCTGAAGTCTCTCTCCATTATGCAGACTGGGAGACAGACCCCCACAGAAAAGAAGCAGAGGCAGCCAACTTTCACCCTCCAATTTCTGCATAAGAAAACGCAAACTATCACACACTCTCAAAAAACAAAGCATGTAAGTGAGAGACAGTATTTAGGGGCAAAACCCCCAACCTTCTTCAGTACCTGCAGTTCTGCACGGGATTTTTCCTCGGGGGCTTTACAGGCAAGCACAGCTTCTTCATTTCCGGGGCCTCCAAGACCAAGTGCCCATTGTCACAGCTGACTGAAACGAGGACCAGCCGTGGCTCCTGGCGAGCTGTAACCATATGCCCATCTTCCTTGGTCACAAGCCAAAACCTGCAGTGCGACAGGGAACAGCAACGCGTAGGAGAAGGTTAAAGGCCGACGCTGGGTGCAGGGCACCCCCGCAGCACTGCACAGTGCGGGGCACGGCAGTACCAGCACAACGGGTGCCTCTTCAAAGGCGCTGCAGAAAGCACCTAAAAACCGCGGAGCCAGAAC